TGTACGCGTTGACTGTTGCTTTTATGGCTCTTTCGAGAGTCACCAGTCAACGGCAAAGAAAGGTTTAAGGTTTGTTATATATATATCCTGGCGACGGCTTTTTCTCTTGCAAGTCGAAGAGGTGTTTCGGAAGAGGTCTTTTTTTTCGAATGAAAAGAGAGCAGGGGGGTAAAGTTGGGTGTGTGCTGCGTGCTGACAATCTTAGAAGCATTATTTCTTCGAGAAAGAATAGTGTTTGGGTGGCCTACCGGCCATAGCATGGTATGAACGACAAGCCATGAAGTTAATGAGTGTCCACGGGGGTCAGGCTGCAAAAAATTAAGATTGCTTCTGGCTGGAAGATGCACTGCCCATCTGACTATCGGGAGAATGCCTTGTTTAAAATTTTCTTCCAAATATTGAGGGAAACTATCTAAGAGGTGTTTAGATAGATCTCGACGCAAACAAGTAAGTGAGAAAATGCTCCACATTCATTTTCTATTTAAGTACCTCAGGGTAGCAAGGCCCCCTTCAACGGGGAATGTGTTATTCCTTGGGAGCCCCCAATTGAACTACAGAAATTGCCGATGGTTTTAGAGGAACCGTCTGATTAATGTGCGAACGTTAAACCCCTAAAGGTATGTGTAACTTCCCAACAAAGATTTGCTGAACTCAAGCCGGTTATTGGAAATCTTGAGAAAGATTTTGGAAATTTTGGAAAAATAGAGAAAACAGATTTTCTGAAGAATTTATTTACAAAGGCATCACCCTCTATGAAGAGCTAATTTATTAGAAAAGTGAGGTTGAAATTTAACTGAGTAATAAGTTGAACCACCACCAACTCCACGTCGTTTATACTTTTGTTTACCAGATAATATTTAAAAACAATGATAAATTTGAAAAACAATTCTGAGCTTTAACGATATTTTTAAAATACCATGCAAACAGTAAATCCTTGATACATATGTTGTATTAAATAAAAAATATTATGATATCAATTTATACATTACTTAAGTCCATGCAAGGCAAACAATTCGGTTAAATGAGCTATGAGACTGGAAACGTTACTTTATGATATTATTGCCGTAAATGTAAAATTGGCGAGAATTTATTTTATTATATATCCCTACACAAATATAAATGTACTATAATTATACGCACATACATTTTAAGCAAAAAAGACATTTAAGAGATAAGTCCTTCTTGATACAGCTGACATTTTCAGATTTTTCAACAGAATTTTATTAAAAAAAAGGAAACAGGCTTAAGTTTATGAAAAAGAAAAGTACAGAATTAAACCACAGCTATGGGGATTTTGTGTAAAAAAAAAATTGTTGTTATTCTTGCATAAAAATACACACTTAGTGTAAATAGTAGCCGGACGAACGAATTGCGAATTTTGCATGTTCTGAGAGACTTTCATCCTTCACGGACGGCAAAAATAAATTATCTTATGTATCTAAAAGAGTTGGTGTGAAAACGTTAACCTTTCTCTTAAATTTATTCATATTATTAGGGTGGGTAAAAATAAAAGCATTAGTTTTTCTGCAGATGGCTGCTAAAAAAAATTCCTTTCCTGTTGTGTTGTTTGGTCCATTCAGTTGTGAGTTGCAAGGTGTTAAAAATGGAAGTTAACAAGGAACAAATTGGGTACATTTTGCAGGCGTGTTTATGGTCCCGAACAGCTGATTACGAGCAATTTCGGCTTTGTAGATTCCTTTCAGGTATTTTTGATGTTAAAGATGCAGCTCGCAAAATTAGGTCCGTCGTCGAAAATGTTGATAAAGTCACAGAAATGATTAAAGTTGACTAGCATCTTAATAGTCGTAGTATCGCCTAAAGCTGAAGATCGACCATAAAGCAGTTTTAAACCATGTGCACAAAGCTGGCTTCTGAAATAAGTTTGATTTTTGTCAAACCATTGAACACAAAAAACGTGGTGGATCGAATTTCAATCTGCGAAGCGTTTGCCAAACGGAATGAATCCTTTACTTAAGCGGACGATCAGTGGTGCGAGAAATGTGTCACATGCGATAACATTGTGCGAAGACGGTCGTGGTCAAGCAGGTCAAAAGGTGGCCAAACCAGGACTAACGGCCAGGAATATTCTGCTGTGCATATTGTAGGAGATTGGAAAGGACCAACCACTGACCCATTTAAAACTAGCTATTGACCAGAAACGGCCAGAAATGTCCAACAAAAGAGTTGTTATGTCCCATGAGGACAACGCCAAACCATACATATCCATTGTGATTCGTCAGAAGCTCCGGAAGTTTGGGTTGGAAGCTTTGATACATGCAACATATAGTCTGGACGCGGCATCAAGCGATTACCACGTTTTTCTTGCATTGCATAACTTCCTTAATAATAAGTAGCATTATGAAGGTACCATTAAAATGACAACAAAATATAGAACAAAATGTATTCGTCCTCTGGACGATAAGATTCTTTTTGGACTTCTTCATGATTCGAATCAACAATTCGAGGAAATGATTTTAAATCATAAAGTCCTCTCTCAGAAGAAGATCGCGAGTGCTCGGTCAAGCGTCGTTGCGTCTGTCTCCCAAGCGACTGTGGTTACTTCGGACGGAATTAATCCAATATTGACATATGTCTGGATACTTCTTATATTTACATATATAAAATAATTCTACATATATGTACATAGGAAAAGCTTGCCTTTGCTTTGTTTGTCCAGTCATTTTTAAAGTTGCCAATGTTCTTCAAAATATTGAGGCAGATGGTCGTTCGTCGACTTGCCTATGCGCTACAAAAAGAAGAACCCAAATGTTGGGGTTTACATAAGCTCGTTGTAAAAACTTAACAGATCGAGTTTATATCTATGCATAGCTGCTGAAGTAAAATGAAATCGATTAATATTTGAAGAGGTTGAAAGAGGGTTACGGAAATGGTATAGGATAAAAACAGCGGTCCAAATGGTAAAGCCTGCATCAACGCTATGTAAGATAATGCTTTTTGTTTGGCGAGATTGCAATGGTATCGTACACAATGCGCTTGGCCTGGAAATGAACTTCACGTTTTACTATCAATGAGTAATACGATTAAGTCGGTGAGGTGGAGTGCCCAGAACTGACCAATAGTAAAGATGTTCTCTTCTTCCACAAACACATGGGAAGACTTAAGTCTTGGCTGGGAAGTTTCGATATGTTCGTAATACTCCTACGACCAGTTATCGTTTTTTTGCTTTCCGTGATATAAGCTTGACTTTAAAAGAAGCTTGTGAAAATCACTTCGCTTGTGATGGCAAAGTGATTTTAACAGAAAAGTAACAAATTGCATTTTTTCGCCAGTGTATTAAAATTCGTTTGAAGTATGAGTCGCGAAGTTATTTCTTCACCGTATCTACGTATATGCACGTATATTTATATGTTTATAAGAGAGAGTAAGGACTTTAAATTAAAGACGCACATATACAGCATGCATCCAAATGAAAATACCACAACACAATAGACACAACTCGACAGTTGAACGCATTGTAATAATATAAAGATTCCTATGCATACCCATAATGACGACCACATTTTCTTATGGATATGTATATGTGTCTTTGTGCCATGTCAAGTACATGCTATTTTGTATATAGATATTTACTATTAATGTCCGTTTGTTGCATTTATATTATTACTTGATATTCCATACTATCTGGTGCAACATGTTGTGGTTGCCAAGCGTTTGCTTTTATATCCATTAATGTTTTACAATTGCACTAAACTTGCAAACTCTCTCTAGGCGTGCTTGCCTAAGCCCAAATAACCCAAGCTATTCCTCCGTTTGATGGTTGGTTATTCATATACACAAACATATGCTTATAAACTTCATATACATTTTAAAGGACTTTCGTGTTACTTTAGCATGTAGGCAAACACATTCGTATACGCTTTAGGCCATAAGGGCAACATATGGTCACTTTGGTTATGGTTTTTGGCTTACGTTCGACTCTGTGCGTCTCTTCTGCTTTTCTGAGGGGTTTATTTAAAACTATTTATCCTGTAATTTCTTCTTTTTTTTAAGGGTTTTCTGCTTTTTGGTCAATTGTTAAATATTTCGTCGGCTGGTTGTGTATTTGTGTTCTCTAAACCGTAAAAGTCACAAATTATATGTTAATGTTGATGACGATGACAATGACAGCAAGGATATGTATAAGAAAGCGGAAGCCTAGTAAGAGACTAAGGACAGAATGATCGCATACCGCATGATAGTGGCAATTTGGCAATAAACTAAAATGAATAATTGTTTTCGCTGTTACACCCCCTAGAGCACTTACTAAAAAAAGAAAACAAAAATGTAAGCCGCCTAAAGTTAAGAGGTTTATGCTAAAGCCATGAGTCTTTTTTGAATCTTCTTTGAAATTAAAAGCAAAGAGCTTTAGAAGAGTTTAATTTCTTTACCGTAAAAAAAAGCTAATCACGGTTTCACACGCATGTATGTATCATTTTTAGTATTTATAGATAAGCAACAGAGAGCCTACGAATCGCCTAAGATCTGTTTTATAAAAAAAACCTTAAAAACTAAACGTGACGTAAAAAGAAAGAATTTAACCCTTAGCTAAGAAAGGCTTTTCAATAGTGAGTCCTCTGAAATGTTAATATGTTAATAATGATCGTTATGCATTATATTATACATACTATTACAATCGTATGAACACGTACGTATACATATTCTAACCTTTGCAAACTGATCATCGCTTTTGTGATAACAATATTTATTCTTTTGAACTTAATTGGGTTGAGGGGTTACTTCACTAATATTGCGTTAGATAGTTGTTGCGGTCTTGTGCCGGGCACACGCCACATGGTCTGGCAAAGTAGCCAGTTGGTTAGTATTGCTCTAAACAACTGACGTTTTCAATTCAATTGAATTTGTCTTGTTTGTGTTTTTGTTGTTGTGCTGATGGATAGAAAAGAAGTAACTGTCAGGTCACCATTAAGTGTGCATGACTCGTGCCAGTCTTCAAGCGTTATTCGTGAGGATCACACATTTTATTGTTAATAATTTTTAGAATGAATATAAGTGAAAACAAATACGTTACATATCAGTACAAAGACAATACAACCAATCTAAGTAATTTCATATATAATAATTCGACGTCACCTTCATCATCAACAGAGGACGATAATAATTCGTTTTATATAAAAAGTCCTATTTATCCGTCGAATAATAATAACAACACTATTCCACGAACAACAAACGTGAACGCTGCAGAATCGTTGATCATTAATACTTGGTCTTTAGAAAATGAATTAAATCTTGCATCCGGGAATGATTATTGCCACAGCCATTATATAAGTCCAATCGCAAATAATTCCGTTACACAAGACCATAACAATACTATAAACATAGACGCGGCAGAGCAAAAAGTTGTGAAAAGGCCGCGTAAAGTAAATGCTTCCCGCATAAAAAAGTCAGTAGCGGTGGGCGTAAATCCGCCTAGCCCATCATTATTGAAGCGTAGACGTCAAGCGGCCAATGCTCGTGAACGTAAACGTATGAATGGATTAAACGAAGCTTTCGATCGCCTGCGTCAAGTAGTGCCCACGCCAGCTATGGATCAGAAGCTCTCTAAATTTGAAACTTTACAAATGGCTCAAACCTACATAATGGCATTAGGTGATATGCTGCAACGTGATCCTGATATAAACAATGTTAACTATAACAATAGAATTTACAGCCTGAATTCTGCGAACATGTCGTTGTCGTCGTCATCGCCGTCGCCATCGTCGTCGTCGTTGTTATACACTAATGACATTAGTTTGCAATGATTGCGGTTGAACCAAAGAGACGTGACTTTGCTCGTGTTCCTCATAAAAATTGATGACATTTCAATTGTCGTCTGCAGCCTAACCAACGCCTCATGGATTCACTTGCAAAATCATTTATACCGTAAAGTGCAGTATGTGTTCGTTTTATGTGTTTGTGTGTGTGTGTGTGTGTTTGTGTGTATGTATTGTGTGAATTCGGAATACAACTAACAAGTATATAGCAAAACATGCTCTCAATTATGCTGCGCCACTAATTGCAATTTACAAGCTACGTGAGGATTACAATATCTCTTGCCTCCCCACCTTAAATCCATATTATTAACGTGAAAATGAGTGTAAGTTTCTTGTGTATGTGTGTATTTGCGTATGTAATTGTGTACATATACATATTTATATAAAAATATATATATATATATATATATACATGTTCTTATGGAAACATTTAAGAAAAAACCTGTAAGCATAAGTGATGTTGTTTACCTTTAAGTACAAGTAATAATGTTGATTATTGTTTTATATCGTTCGCGTGTTTCAATGCCCGTCACGTTTCTTACTCTTTATTAAGCTTAAGTGTACATTTTAAACGAATTCTATGTGATTTGATTGTAAGAATGAATTTACTTTTCATATAAATCATAACCAGACGCTTAGAGCTTATGCTTTATGTATTATAATAATCAGTGATTTTCAAATTGTTGATTATGAGGTAATCTAACTGAAGTAGTTTCTAATTCTTTTCATTGCTAGTTATCATTTTGAAAACTGTAAGACTTTCATTAAAAAACGCTCATGAGGACTCCTATATCTGATAACATAGAAGAAGGAAAAAGTTCGCAGCTTTACTTCACTATAATTCAAACATAGTTTTTCTTATAATTTAAGTAAGATTTAAACAAATTTTAAAAAAGCAATTATGTGCCATTTGAGCGATAGCTTTTTGGCGTCTTTTTGATAAAATCACTGTAAAACCATTGGTAAGCGGTGAACCAAACGATTTTTCTAGGTCTCTTTTGAGTTGCGCTTGCCAGCCAATCCAAATCCCAACAATGTAGTCGAGTCAATAAAAATCTGTTTGGATATGGGATTGTCGTGATGAAAGACGACGCAGTTTCTATTCTATGGTCAATTCCGGACATTTGTGTCCTTTAATCGCTTTAATTGCTGCCAATAAAGAATGAAGTCAATTATCTGATCAGTTTGGGAAAGGTTATTGACGAACGGTTCTCTTCCCATTCTGTCAGAGGCATAACGCTATTTTACGTGCAATGGATCCGAACTTTACCACTCTTTGTACTGCTTCTTTATTCTTTGCCCGCGAACAATTTTCGGATATTATTGGCATTGGTGACTAAGTTTTCATTGCCCATCATCAGCCTCTTCAAAAATGGCTCGATTTCGTTCCGTTTCAACATTTTCTCACAGATGAACTTTCATTTAATTAAATATCTATCCATTTATTGATTCATGTGGTCCATATCCATGTATCAATCTTTTTTTTTGTATAGAATGGTAGACAAATTAGTCAAAACTGGTTTTTGACGGATTCTTAGTTGCTTAGCAAAATCATAAGGTCACACGTGCCAATCCTCAAGTTTATGAATTGTATGATTTGTAGAAGAAGAAACATTTTTGGAGGATTTCGACTTTTTCAGCAAGCGGTAAACCAAAGCCTGGCACAATTTTAAGATTAAAATAGATAAGCATGAGTGGTTTGCACCATCCAAACATTAGAAATATTTTCATAAGTTTGAGAAGCTTGTCATATGCTTGAAGTGATCTTGTACAATGTACAGCGAATTTTTCGAATTAATTTTTACTGTGTTAAGGAAACTCGTAAGGTTCCCTTTAAATGGTCTATTGACACACATTCCCATTCCATGCATTGCGGTATGGTTAGATGGTTTTTATGCGATTTTAAAGTGATATGTTGGGAAAAATGCTACGAAAATCTCTCTTGACCTACTCACCATCAAAACGTAGGCTAAATACCAGATTTGAATTTATTGTCTCTAATACTAATAAAATATACATATTCTTGGGCAATTTAATTTAATTCTATCCGATCACAAGTCTGTATGCCGATACGCTGACGTTCAATAAATATTTTCCGATTTCACAGCGGTTTCCTTAAAGTAGAGTTTTCGTAGGCATTTTTGTAACAAAATAGAAAATACGTAGAAAATACGTGGGCATAAGACCCCCAACGCATGGAAATGTATTGGAAATGATGAGTATCTACAGTTAGTTCGCTTAATCGGCCAAATTCTTATTTTAATGGAACTTAAATTTATTTTCATAAATTAGAAGCCTTTTTATCTAAAATTCTTTATCATTTTGTAATCACTTTGTGTACAAATAAATGGAAAAAATGAAATAAATTTTTGGAACAAAATATTACAAGAAACATTGCGACATAGTGGTTTGATCGACGATCATCTCTTTTGAAAAATTTACATGATCCAAGCGGATGTAATAAAGCAATGAACTCTAAATAAAAATGGAGCTCTTAAATATAATTTTCCGTTGTAAGGTGCGCTTAGAACCCATACTTCCTTCTAACTCGCGCAACTCTTGATAAGGCTGTCCACCGACAGCCGAAGAAAATTATCTACGTAAAATATAACTTCGCTTGCGAGGACACACCGGAATCGAGGCTACGAAATAGTTTTCACAAGGTCGTTCTTAAAAGCAACTGGATGACCAGGCCAAGATATCAAAATCAAATTTAAATTGTATACTTTACAAAATTTAATAACTGAAATATCGGCCATTGTTAGCTGTGGTCTTTTGCGACATCGCGAATGGCTCATGAAGGAGTCTCGCGGTAGAGACTTATGGAGCCTGTTTCACCTATTTTCAACTTTTGTGCATAGCTCATCTGCTACATATGACTGTATCGATCGAACCTAGTGGTAATCAAAAGGAGCCATGCCTGGCGGATAAGCTGTAAGTGCGAGAAGCTTCCAGTCCAAGTTTAAGATGTTCTGCTTGCTAGCTTCTGCCGTATGCACTCGGGTGTTTTCACGAAGCAAAACCGCTTTCCGAATTCCTTTGCTCATAAATTGTCCTTTTTCTTCAAGCGCACGACTTTCTATGACTAGCTGGTCCTGCTGCGAGATGTAACAGTTTCAGCAGGCTCTAGAAATTCGGAGGAGTACACCTATCATTAAGTTTTCGTTTAATACGCAGATAGTGTTAGGATTTTATGAAAAAAGTGAATGGTGTTTCTGTAATATTAAGATTAGGCAGTTCACAACTTATCCTAAGCTCCGCTCAATATTTTCAAATATATTCGCAGAACATGTTTGGCAGAAGTTGTAGTAGTAAATAACCTTCTTGTTCCGAAGATGCTTCACATTTCAATTTTTTTTTGGCTGAAATTATGCTATGTATTCGCCATTGTAATTAGATAACCATAGCTTAAGAAGCTTTTCGCGGCAATTTTAATCTACAATTTTTGTTACTTCGGTTTGTGCTCATTTCTGTCAAAAACGAGACGGTTGCAGCATTTAGATACAAAAACTTGTGTGTGTCAGATGTAACAAGCAAGGGTTGAAACAACACTTGCATTGAACGCAATTTATTTTGCTTTAGAATGATAATGGTTTTCTCTGCCAAGAGTAGATATAAATAATTTCATCTGGGCGTCTCTATTTTTCCGATCTTATCAACGTCTAAAAATGCAACAGAAGACAGAGGTTAATGGATACACGAAAATCTTATCTGGATAAAATTGAGACAACGATTATGAAAATATAATACGGATAAAATAGAATAACAAGCGCTGTCAAATCTTGAGCTCCTAAGCTTAACAGATTTAAATATATACACCTATTCACACGATTTGTTTTACACGAAATTTGATTTGACACGAATTAAAGGGAAAAATCTCTCTTCATACGAATTGTTTTGTATTAACACGATTTTCAATATTTTATGAATTTCTTAGTGAATTTTTCTGACGAAGTTTTTTGCATCGTAATTTCGAGTTTAATTTTTCATAATTCGGTTCGGTTATGCCGATTATATGCGTATATGAGTGCTGTTTAGCCAATGTCTATCTTTACACTTACTTTTTTTACACGAATTTTTTTGGGAATGCACCCATCGTGTGAAACAGGTGTAATTTGTCTCGTTTGCTATAACTTAGTTAGAGTTAAAATTATTACATATTTAGATATTCGACACTCAAACGATATTGAGACGTCAGAGAATATCAAAATGCATGTAACGATTTCATTTGAAGACCTACGCCTACTGTTTTAAGGTATTTCAATATCTGCAATGAAACATTAAATGAGCAAAGAGTCAAGGTTTCTGTTTCCAACAAAATTGCGAATGGCGCATTATAAATATCAAAGGTGCAGACAAATGAATGGCATAAAACATGGAAGACGAAATGACACTTGAATTACGTCATGTTGGTCGACCTTCAATATCGACGGGCGACAAAAACATCAACAAAGTCAAGACGTTTGTGGACGAGAATCATTTGTTTATTTGTAGAGAGAGTTAGCTAAAGAGATGAACGTGTACCTCAAGAGAGTGCATGTCAGTGTGGCTAATATTTTAAGCATTACGATAAGTGAAGTGTGAATCCGCAACTTGTCATTTTCATTATTCCAAAGCTTTTGAAGGGAGTCTGAAACCACCTCGATTCGCGGTCATATGAGAATAATTAAAATGAGCGAGTCTGAAAACCAAATTCATTCAGTTCAAATGTGGATTAGGAGGCTATTGCGGAAACTGAATATCTTGTTTTCACTTTTGAATAAGAAAACAAGCGGAAGAAAGCAAAGGAAACAAAGATGGCAGATTTTCGCCTGGACGTATATTATTACTGAAAATGAAAAACTTTCTTTGTGTTATGCTAGAAAAGTATTGTAATAAGTGTGTAGAAAAAGTGAACTTTGCTTTAAAAAGCGTGTTTGAGAAAAATAAATAAATTTAATTTCAGAGTAAAACTAATTTGCAAAATGACATCATGATAATCGGAGAAT